CGTTACTAGACCAACTCAGTTATGTAACTTCCCATAGACGCTGTACATTGGAGCAGAGCCGTATATGTAGAGAGTTTGGTCAATGGGAGGCGCGGGCAGAGCCAGGCGTGCACCAGACTCGGAAAAAGGGCTTGGCATGCTCTCTTGACCAACCAGAAGCCGAAAAGAATCCCCTAGTGGTGGTAGCGGCAAATAGTTCTGATCAAACGTTTATGTTCGTATATGGTTTTAAGAAGCGCGTAAGAGTGAAGTGTAGTAACTCTTTCTGGTTGAAAATAGGGTTCACGTGTTGTTTTGATCATGATCATGCAGAAAGATGTAACAAACGAATGCGCCGCGCAACTCTGTTTTGCGCGGACAGAGTGTGACTGGAGGTACTGACTGCCTGACTGACTGACTGCGCGGACAGAGTGTGACTGACTGACTCCAGAACCCAGGGATCCTGGGTTCGAGCCCCACCCCTGCCCGTTTCGATCTGAATGAGCATCGTACCGGCGTGCGGTCGTGTATCACTACTGCGTGGTGCACGTTAAAGACCGCGGGCTAGCGGTTGTACTGCACTGGCTAAATTGCTCATCTACAGCGTGTGACTCGTCGCAACTTCAATGGCAGACCAACTACACGCTGTATAAATATCCCCACAACCCCAATTATTATTAGAGTGTGACTGCTCGGACGGCAGATTTTCGGCCCTGGGCGCTTGGCGTACGGATCATGTCGATCGTTGCGCTAGTCGCACCCTTCCACCATCATTTTGGATTAACGTGATTGAAACATCACGTGTACCATATTTTCAGCCATTGAGAGTTACTCCAATGCAGTTATCAGGTTTGTTTCTCGCGACCACCGCCAGGGTATTATTTCCGGCTTCTGGTTGCTCACATTCGAATTTGTGAAGACGTCCTGGAACACGCCCAGCCCGCTTTCGGCCAATGGCGCCTCCTCATTTGTCTCCTATATTTCCGAACGAATGGCCAAACTCTCTACATTTACGGCTCTGCATTGGAGGGGGTCCGAAACCGTGTCCGATTTTTTTTACAGCTAGGTGGCGCTGCCCGCGCATTATTCCACGCGTTTTCGTCTGCTACTGCCCCGCGGCTGCTTGCGAGTCCCGACTCCTCTCGAGGTTCAGCAGGGTTTTTGGTTAATGTTTGCCCTTTCGCCAGTAAAAATTACAATTTGAGCATGAAAAGCGCTACGACCGTTTTGGCATACGCTTTGCATTATTGTAAAATGCTGCTGCCTCAGCTGTGTTGACAGCGCGAAGTGTTTTGAACAACCCAAATTCGTCGGCGCCACAATCCGGTGGCTACAATCAGGGCAAGTTTGTACATACTGTAATAGTAGATGTGCCGATGACTACCAACTGCAGCAGAAACAAGTTGAAAGTCGTCTGCTAGTGTCAGAAAAAGCGCCACGAACATCCGTAAGCTCAGTAGGCCAGATGCAACGGCCACAAGCACGCCGTCAATGATGATGATAGCGAGTATTAATGCGGAGCGCGCGCCCTCTAACAGGCGCCACGCAAAGGGACCCCCTCGGGAGCGGAGTTCCAGAACTGAGTTGGTTCTAATAACGTTGCATACACGTACTATCGGGGAAAAATGAAATGCGAACAGAGGAGCGCGTGGCTCGCGGTACATGGTGCGCCACCTGGAAGTGAGCCTAGGAGCGAGGGTGCGTGGCCTACTGCGACGTGTCCACGTCCCTCCCTCTGCGCTCCCCAAGCTTCAGCAGAGCGCCTCTTAGTGCGCTGAAAGCTATCACCGTTATCTTTGCTGGCTCAGCGCGTGCGGTGCAAAGAAGCTCGCCGCGCTCGTCAAGCAGGCAAATATAGCGGTGACAGCTTTCAGCGCACCGAGAAGCGCACTGCCGAAGCTGGGGGAGCACCAATCGAGGGGCGTGAACACATCGAAGTAGGCCATGCACCCTCGCCCCTAGGTTCACTTCCAGGCGGCGCAGCCTGTACCGTGAGCCACGCGCTCCTCTGTTCGCATTTCATTTTTCCCCGATGGTACGTCTCTGGGGTGTTCCACCATTGTGCAGTGGAAAGCTTTTTTTTTTTTTAATCGCTAAATAACTAAAATTTGGTAATTCGTCTTTTTTTTTTTAATTTGTGAAAATAGTCGCATGGTTCTAATTAGAAACTTGCGCAACCTCATTGAAAACTGTTACACAAGTTCACTAACATTTAGAGAGCATGGGAAGCGCGTGGTGGTGCGCTAGGGTCATCACTCGTGCAACCGAAAAGGCCAAAGCTGAAAGCACGCGATGTCTCTTCCCGCCTCCCGCGCACGCGCGCTCGTGCGCATGCAACCGTTGCTCGATACAACATGCCCACGCTCGTCCCACACTGGCTGCGCTCCAACTTAGATCAGTGTCCCTAAAGCCGCCGTCACACTGCTCATATGCCGTACACAAGACCGACTGCAATCACCTGTCTGGAGCATGTCTCTTTCTTGTACGACTGTCCTAGCTATAGTCATACAAAAACGAACTTTGGACAAATTTGAAGCATGTATTAAGAGAAAACCCTCACATGCCGGGCACCCGACAATGCTGTGAATAATATAGTTTACTCTGACTCTCTCGCTCTCTCTCTCTCTCACACACACACACACACGCGCGCACACACACACACACACACACACACATTAGCCATTCAAAAACTGTCTTTAGACAAAAGGGTACGCCCGCCGGCGATATGAAGGTAAACGCAGGACCCTCGACCGCTCCGTGCTATCAGCGCTATGACGCGGCTGCTGTGGCGACTTGCTTTCTTACCGCGCGCTTCGCCGAGATTAAGCGCTTGGATCGAGCGCCGTTCTCAGCTCTGCTGCTACTCCCCGCAGAAAACGCGAGGATTAGGGAAGCAGCCTTTCAGACGCTATCGGTAGACAGTGTGATGTAGTAGTTCTTTTTGTTTAGATAAGGGTTAAATCGAAAGGCTGCGGAACAAATCAAAAACTAACTTATACTTTCCGCTTCTTAAAAAGAAGATCACGATATTTGTGCAGCTATTAGCGTTCGCTCGTGAATGAAGAAAGCGGTTGAGTCACTCTGATAAACCATGACGAACAACGTCCGCTCTAGTTCACGCGATATGTGCAAATCATTTGCCGGCAATGGCATGGGCATGGCGCCCACAAAAAGCGATGCCGAAATCGAAACCCACTTCCAGTCTTTCTGCAGGGAGTAGCAGCAGGTCTGAAAACAGCGCTCGATCCAAGCGCTTAATCTCGGCGAAGCGCGCGATAAGAAAGCGAGCCGCCACGGCAGCCGCGTCATATGGCGCTGATAGCACGGACCGATCGACGGTTCGGCGTTCACCCCCTTAGCGAAGACTAAGACGTTTCAAATATACCACGCTCGAGTTTGAGGGTATTTAAAGTACAGTTCATAATGGTAAGTACACCAAAAATAGACCGAAAATATACACTCCTTTTTTTTTACTTAGTACTGAAATATATTTCTGAAAACCTTTTTTAAAATACCTTTCTTTAACTACATTTGAAGTTCCTTTCATGTGTTCTGAAATATGGATATACTAAATTAGTAGGCACAAAATACCTTTCACATAGATTTCTTAAAATATTTATTTATTTCATGCAAAATATGCTCCAACTATAATAAAAATGCAGCGATCAAAAATATGTGCAGAATACTCTTAAAATAGCTCAAAATCGTAAATACTGTTCTGTTATACCAAATATTGAAAAGCTCGCCTATCAGAAGTTCACTTTAAGTAAATGTAGAGTGCACTGAAATGCCTAAATACAACATTTGATCAGTTTGTCAATTAGCTGTGCAGCATCGCACTGATAAATCAGCCCAGTTTGATGAGTTTCTTGCACACCAATGACAAACGGGGTTCGGGAACTACAACCAAAACACTTGCTGATGCTGGAAAGCTTCAGCAGTGCGTTGAGCAGTTATGTTTGACGTGGTTGTGTTAGCACAATGTTAGTCCACTGAATGTGTATACTCACCGTTGTATGTGATGTGAGTAGTGACTTTAATATAGGGACGTTAATGACCATAATATAGAGTCAACTAGTATAGAAAAGCAAAATAACTATTTTAAAGTAAAGAAACTGCCTCGACTCGCTTCGTCCTGAATGGTGCTATGCAGAGAAGCAATAACATTTCTTCTAGGAGCCGTTTTTTATGGATATTGTTTTGCGACTGCGCCGAATTATTATTAGTTGTACCAATGTTTTTTTAGTAAGAGATATTGTCCACGAACTTCAAAACACTGTTTCCCCTTTGACAGACTCCCGAGGAGAAGGTCGAATACTTGGAACCTTAATAAGTGCAGAGGTGGTCACCGGCCAAATGATTACCTTCAATATGTATGGTATATAAGGCTATAGAGCGGTCAACGGCACTGTGATTCGGGTGTTCAGTGCTGCAGGGTGTTTGTGTTTGTATTCGTTCCGAATGTGTAGTTATATGATGGTATTTAGTAGTGCCTTTTCAAATACCAGGGGACATCACTTACTAACAAAATCGAAAATAAAACAAAATGTGTATCCAGTTTTTAATACACAAATGGCAATTTGATTAGAGGGAATTATAATTTTGGTATATCTAAAATCTTTTCTGAATAATATTTATGATACATTTTGAATACCTTACGCGTGTATTTCGAATGCGGACAAAAATTTCAGAATGAATACAAAATGAATATTCATATTCAATATATTTCAACTTCGTTTCAAGTACAGCTTCTTTTTGCTAAGGGCCTTCATATCGCCGCCGGGTGTACGTATCAAGAAAAAATACTTCGAACTTGTTTGAAACCTGTCTGCGGACAATTTTGTCACCATGATGTTTCCAGCGAACACAGCGTCTCTGATATGATGAGCGGTGGCGAGTCCAAAAAGATAATCCCGAAAACCGAAAGCGGACGCGCCCCCTTCAGCGGCACGATGCCAACCATCAAAAAACCTCCCGCAGCTTCCTCGACGCGTCCCCAGATGGCAGTGCGGCGCGCGGGCAGATCTTCGCTCGCACATCCCGCGGGCAGTCGGTGCTCACTTTGAAACGCGGCTCTACGAAGCGTGGTCGTGCCGTCTCGTCCCGCAAATCAAACGCCCACGAGGGAAACGCAAACAAACAAAAAAAAGTATTCGCGCTCTCCCAAGACGGATCCCGTGTGCTCGGACGATGTTCCTGTCTTAAAACTCCGGAGTTGAAAACGAAAGAAACAACACCAGAAATCATCGATCTTTCGAGCCGGTGCTCGCTAAAACCCTCCGTCGGATTCTGGATGCCGCTATAACTACAAAGGGGTAAGTTTGAGCTCCCTTATTTATTATTTACGCTAAGTGGAACCGTACTCCGCGTTCCGTACTGCTGATTCCCCGAGTTTCTTTTATTCCCGAGGGAAAAGTCGTTCCGGTTGGCTTGCCTCAAATAAGAGGGGATCACCGAACGGACAGCGACTTGGAACTTCAATTGGAACGAGCGTCTCGATGGGGATCAGGCGCAACATAGAGCGAGAACCTGCCGGGATAATAGGGATTCCGCATTTGTCTCGTAGAATCAAATGTTCTGAGTCGGTGTTTTTTGTTGTTTTCTTTTTGTTTTGTTTTGTTTTTCTTTTCATCAAAAAACCGTAAACGATGTTGGATTTGTTTTCGGGGAAACAGGTTGTCATGACCGCCAAGTTCATCCGCGTTCGTGGGACTTGGTATGCCGAAAGGATCAGTTGTTTGAATAGAGTGTCACTCTTGTAGCGAAGAGATGAAGCAGTTGTGATGTCGCCATGCTTTTTGCTCTTGTGGATGTTTTTGTTTTTAATGTTTTCCGGCTCAGGCAATAGTCCCATCAAAGCAGGCGTTCAAACAGTCCGTAACACTTTCGTATCGATGCAATTGCCTAGTGACGCTAGTCAATATGAAGCTTCGTTATGCCAAATCGCCATCGTTTTGTTCGGGCCACTTTACAAATTCTTTTTTTTTCCCCTAACTTTTGACAGCATGAATAGAGTTGATTGACGGAGGCTAGTTTCAGTGTTGAAGCTGCTTCAAGATCTCGGTATGCACGTGTTTCTAAATGTCGAGGGAAATAACTTATGCCGTCACCTAACAATAAAAACTGCCGAAGGCCTTCCCGAACTGGGGTGAGACTGCAATTTAGCCGAGTTGCTTGTTCATATCCTCAATGTTACAGCGCACAAAAGCAAACATGCAATTCGCACAGGCCCACACACAAAAAAAAGGAGACACTCTCGTAGCGCTGCGTGAGTGTCCATTTTTTGCCTGCCTAGGCAAATTGACTGCCTGCTTCTATAAGCCGTAACCTCAGACGCTTGAGGTGTGGTAGCCACTACTAAATTTTCTTTCATTTTTATAGTCTCCCATTTCGTAATCTCACCGAGAACTTCGACAAATAAAAACAAAAAATAAGCGTGCGACGATACCTTACGTAAAACCACTCTTATTAATTTTATTATTTTTTTATACATAGTCTGCATTAAAAGTTTGCGGGGCACGGGAGCACCAGTCGAAATGACATGGTTGCGCCCCCTGACGGCGCATTGCCCCTCTCAAGACTCGCGCTTTGCGCATGCGCGTCCTTGGGTGTTCACAGTCATGTTTTTATTGTTCGCCCCTGTCGGACTCCCACAAGATAACAGGGACTGGAGCAAGGTGCCGCGACATCTTATCATTAGCATGCGAGCTTCGTCAGCCATGATGGCGGCTGAGGCAGACGCGTGGCACGACGGCTGACAAAGCGGCAACTTGCACCGGTCCCGCTTATCTCGTGCACATCGGACGGAACCGAGTAACAGAAACAAGACTGCAAGGACGACGGGAAGCTCATTCTCGAAGAGCAAGTTTTGAGAGCGGCCGCGCGCCGTCAGAGGGCGCAACCAGTCATTTTGGCCGGCGCTCCCGTGCCCGCTAACTTTTGCTGCCGACTGTACATTGAGACTTCATTTTCACTTCATTAGGACCCTTAGACAACTAAAATTTCTAATTAAGAGCAGATAAAAATGTTTAAAAAAAACTTTCTCGGAACCTGCAGCGCTTAATGGCATAACAGGTTTAAACCAATCAAAAATAAATAAGGGTCCAATGACCAAAAGATAAATTTGGTGTTAAAGCTAATTTTAAAGAAAAACTGGGGGCATGAAAGCGACAGGATCAGGAATCGACCTAGAAGCTCATTCGGGCATGTATTGTAAATGATTTATATTGACGCCGTTTTGAAGTCTATTGCTTTAAATATTGATTTTTTGTCCGCTTTGGTCTATGCCCATTGTTTATCCTGGAAGATGACGAAAAAGATGATTCCTGCTTTTTCCTGAAAACGTCTTTATTAGGGAAAAAAGTATTATGGAGCTCAGATTACTAATTATTATACGTATATCACATTTTAGCTTGTTTAGTCATATGTTAGTTATGTGTGTTGGGAGGGCCCGAACACCGCAAGGCCCATTGAAATGAGTATGAATTCCAGGTTTTATTTAATTATTTCTATTTTCTATTTATTATAGTTTATTATATTTACGTTTTATTTACTTTCTGTAACTGGGGAGGAGTTCGTTATGTATAACAGCAAGGAAACAAGAAGAAAGAAACTCACCTCAAATTTACAGGCTGAAAATCCGTGAGCTTGAGCTCAGACAGCCAAACATCGCTCCTTCGATGTTTATTCCGCGCTTGCATAATCCCCCTCATTTTAGCGTACATACATTGAACCTGATTGCAGCGGCCATCCCAGCGAACGTACTGAAGTAATTAGTTATTTTCAAAACGGCATTTAAACTTGACAGTTCCGTATTGTAGCTTCACCCCATTAAAGTTCCAAGCAAAAAAAAAAATTGCTATTAAGGTCTTTTTCGTGTGTTAGCGAGGATAAAATAACAAGGAATGATAAGTTGCAACTCTGTTTGTACAGAGCGGCCCAATTAGTGGCCATTTACGTATTGTATTTATTTCTTGACCGATGATGCTCGCCTTGACAAGTCTGTAGCAGGTATGATACTCGCAAAAAAATTCAATGATAAAAGCTGCCATTACACAAATTTAAATGTTCCAGGAGCGCCGCGCTGCACGGCGATGCAGATAAAACAATTTCGTGTGGTCAGGATGCTGGGTCATGACTGTCGCGGGAAAAAAAATGTATACTTGGCGTGATCTATTTTTGTTATGATGTTAACACTAGCGTAGCTTCCACAGTGCTGTAGCCTCTCACTGCTGCGAAAGATCGGAGCTTTTTGTCTTGTGTTTCTTTTGCACGCGCTCGCGCAAGTAGCTTCCACAGCATTAAAGCATTGCGAAATCTACGGTAGCCTTTTCCTCGTGGCACTAAAGAGTTGACGCCTAATACAGCGATAAATCAATAATCACAGCAAAACAAAACCAGTCGCAACAGTGGGATGAAAAAAGCGAATGCTTCAGAAAACTTGAATACGTCTTCTATCTGATTCGAGATAACGTTAAAGATAAAGGCACACTCATGACAACTTTAATACGCTAGGAATCTCGCTCCCGAACAGATCGCAGCAAAAACAAAATGAATGGTGAAATGAATTATTGGTAGCGGAAAACTACTAATTCACAATTAAATGATACCATTTTCTTGTCGCCCGAGACTGAAAAATCTTGTTTATTGTAACAGATGTCCATGTCCCCAAGCATTTCAAAACACCAATGTTTTAGCACGATAGAAGGGCAAACACTTCAAGTGAATAACACGAGGCATTTGAAATTTCGACTAAATTAAAGTGCGGATTGTGCAAATGAACCGTACGTAGCAGTGCAGAACGATTATATCGAACAAAAGTTACTAGTGACTACTCTAGATAACTTTTGTTTACACTGTTGCACCTCGTTCCGTTTAACTCGTCTCATTCTAGTCCTTTTCGGAGTCTTTTCTACAGATCAAGTCTGAGCCACTGACCCAGTAGATCTTTCCGGAAAATCCCAGCTGAGCTTGAGGCCCGGGGAATTGCGGGGCAGTGTTCCGATGTACGCTAATGCGAACTCGAATGCTTCGTAGACACTGAAAACAGCCCGATTCATGATCTCTTATTAGTAGGCGCCGCGGTGTAAGATGTTTACGGGCAACGACACACTGCACAGCGAACGCAGCAACGCTATCGACCAGATAAAGTCCTCTTGCCCCGGGCCCGAGTAGCCTCAGCCGACAGCGCCTCCGCCGTTCAAACAAAACAACTTAAAAAAAAGTGTCTCGTTTGGGTGCCCGTTTTTCCTTTCGGTGAACGAAAAATCTACTTCATTGTAACAAATGTCCATGTGCCCCAGGATTTTATAACACCAATGTTTAGTCAAGGAATACTGCGCGTGTTAATATTTTACACCATGGCTCCAACAGATAAGAGAGAATAAATCGTGCCGTTTTGAGGATGTACGAAGCATTCGAGTCGTCGCGAGAGTACATCGAGGAAGAGCCCCACAATTCCCCAGTTTCTCTGACCTTGACGGACGCTAGCTTGAACAACGCGCCAAAGGTCTCCCCGATTCAACGCCTTAAAAAAAACTGTTACTGCCACCGTTGAGGTCACGAAACTAGGGTCAGTTTCTACATGAAGTGTCCCACTCACAAAACGACTTTAAAAATCAAGCATGTCTCCTATGAAGACGCATCGGAAACTCGGCACGCGACAGGCTAGCATTAGCCGCATGTCGAAAAGTCATCTGGGGACGCCGCCTGGCAACCAAGGTGACGAGAGGACTTTTTCTGACACCTGCCATGTCATCACATGCTCCGTATTTCTTCTTTTTTTTTCTGCCTTCTCTGCGTTTTAAAATCACAAAATGTTACACCAACGTGGACTCAGTCTTCGATTGCTGGATAGTCTCAAGCACCGCACATCTGAACGTAACAATGCGTCAAGCAGGCGGTGAGAAGGCCACATGTTTCCGGAAAGGTCAATCTATTGACCGCTGATGCAGTCTTGTGCAAGAGGCTGAAAAAAGATTTATTAACGCATGAAATTCTGTTTCAACCCCCTTCCCAACATTTTTTCCGTCGGTCCGTTTGTCCGTACATTTCCCGCTAAATTTAGCGGAGAAATGGACGTCACGAGACCGACAGACGGATTCAGTGTTCTTCCTGAATGTAGCGGGAAAGTTGACGTCATGTGACAAGTCCAGTTTTCCCGCTACATTTGGTGAGGAAATCGTAGACGCGTGACCTAACGTCACGAGACACGCTCACCGTTCAGTCTCCCCGTTAAAATAAGCCGAAAAATTGACGTCGCGTGTCATCTGTGTGGAACATTACGTTTTCATTCACTGCCCGAAACATTTCTAAT